GATCTTTACGAATGTTTAATTAATTCCAGTAATGCAGAAAAGTTACTTTTATCATTACATGTATAGATCAGTAAAAAAACAAATGACAGATTTTTTCGACAAGACATTTCGCACTACATTGCGTGGCATAGGATTGCTTGAATTATTATTGATATTGATTTTTAGTAACTAAGTCGTTGTATAATTATAGTAATATACAAACACATGGAAATTTTCTGTTCGAAGTTGGTCTTCGAATTTGTCATATTGACTGCTGAGCTTATTGTGTTTTTTGATTGTATTGACGGAAATATGACAAATTAAACAATGTGCTTCAGAATTTTGTAAAGAGCGGAAATGTTACAACTCCCATTTTCTTCGAAAATGCCACCTTCTTCATGTACTTTGCGTTTAATTTAATTACTCAAGTGTTTTATTCAAGTATTCTTTTGCTAGCTTGATGTGTATTCTTAATTGGGTCAAAATGTGGACAAAAAAATTAATATTCCTAAACTACTTCCAGTAAATTGTTTTCTGTGTGAATAATCAATTTCACTTTAGAAGGTTTGAAAAATCTATTACATTTAGATAAAAAAAAAAAACTTCAAAAATACTATTACAATTATTGTTAAGCGTTCGAGGGCCGCACTGGAAGTTCTCTGGGGCCGCGAGTTTGAGATCCCTGGTCTAGATTGAAGTTGTTCAAAAAATATATGATAGTATTTTATCATGAATGATGATTATACCCCTTCCGGAATTTCTTCTATAGTACTATCAAAAGTTGATGAACCAAATATAACACAGGTGCAGTGAGGTACCCGTAATCCTCATTTCCAAAGCTGTTTTAAGTATGTCTGGCGTGTTTTGTGCCTTTTTACAAATAAGACCGCTTATGCAATCTTACACTTTGGAATTTTTAGTTATTTTCCTCAAGCCCTGCAGGATGTGGGGGCCATACACAACTCTACCGGAGGGTCAAATGTCTTTGCATGCCTCCATAGGTTGTTTTCCTATTGCAATTTTCTATTTTCAATTGCATTATATTTCTTGGAATCACACTGTCACTGATATGTCGCCAGACTTCGGATATCTCCCCGTCTGCTATAGTTGTCCTGTGAATAAATAATAGGAAATTGAGATTAGACGAATAGTTGAAAGTTTTGCTTTATGTCGGCTTAATTTCTTGATTGATATACTTACTATTTCTGCTATTGCCTCTTGTGCTGCAAGAGTCTCACAATGCTTAGACAGGTTTGTCCACAACTTTCACATCTGAAGAAAGAGAGGAGATTTATTAATTTTCGTTAAGAATAAATAAAGCAGTCTATATGATTCAGAATGGAAAAGCTAATAAATCCAATATCTCATGTTTTATTTAAAAAATATTTTACTGAATTTGGTATATAAACCAACTCATAAAAGGGTTTAGTCAGAAAATTACAAGCATTCGTGGCTCCAAATACTTGAGAAATCAGACTATACGATATAGACCGGTATGAGTGAAATGTTAGGTGAACTTGTTAACACTTTGATTCAATACGCAAATAAAAGTGAATGCGTAATAGTATGTTACAATGAGCAGCAATCAACAATGAGTATATATCCTCACTGATTAAAAAAATCTAACTGGAGGTGCATGAACTATTTGAAACCATAAGGGGTAAGTAAATATGTAATTTCGGCAAATGGGCAACTACGTGCCGTACTGAATTAATAACTTCGTAGTATTTGACAAAGGCTGGCTTTCCCACATGTACTTAACAGTGCGATGCCCGGGTGTGATATACAACAATAGTATTCACCTTACCTTTTACCGATTTCTTTTTACCCCAACTTTCAAAAATATCATTAAAATCGACAACAACTGTCAAAGCAGGCACGAACACCATTCGTGCTACGCCTTGAAAGCAGCACACATCCGCTCGTTTTCGTCTCGTCAAGTATGTGCATTGGAGCGTGCTATCGAATACGATCTTCGGACAAAAATGCCGGAGTTGCGCATCATGTTGTTTAATGTCATTGATCGGAGTGTAGAATATTATCAGAATAAAACTCGTTGTTTCAGAGTACTGCGTTTACTTCCGAATCAGAAAACGTTATACCTGTTATACACTGGGCAAGAGCAAGGGCCAGAGCAAGGTAATAACGGCATGAAAGGTCATGAACTTAGGCACTGAATTAATATAACATAATATATGCAATATCACTACAGGGTGGTCGCTGAGAACTGATTATTAAGCAGCGACTCCCAAGGTTTCATATCTAATTAAGTTTAGAGTTGAAGTTTTTAGAATACTGTTATCTCTGGTGAGTATGGCTTTGGCAGCTGAACTACCAATATTATCCACTGACACAGAGGTTATACGAGATGACTCCAGACAGCTCCTCATGGTTTGTTTTGTTACATTTCGTTTAAAATGACATCTAAAACTTGCAGCATGCATTCGCGGAAAAATTCCCCCTCAGCAAACGGACAATTCTTTTTAGCGATGTTGTGGGCTTGCCACTTTCATTTGACTTTTTTTTTAACATGTTCGTTTGACTTTTGTAAGAATCTAACAATGAATTAAATTTTGAAATACGCCGCTCACTCGTCAAACGATCATAATTTGACGAATGCTTGCTTCGTCTCATGGTGCTTGATGTCGTATTCCTTTAGAACTGGAATGATTTGTTGGCAAGGAAGCAAATCGCTGAAGTTTGATTCTTTTCAATAAAGAAAAAAGAACACTGCCATTTAACCAAAAAACGTCTGTTTGCAGTGTTTAGTTTTCGTTTTTTTCGTGACATCTTTAAGCTTTCTTAATATAGCGCTGATAACTAAAATACTGCCGTACGGTGACCGTACATTTGAACCCATGCGTATATCCACGGGTTCAATCTATATGCGGGTGCTAAAACCCATGGGTTAGGGTTAGTATGGGTTTAACTATCCGTGAAACAAAAAAAATTCCATAGGTGCAATAGCATACAGGTGCAATTGTCACGGGTTCAAATGTACGTGGGTTCAAATGTAATGGAACCCTGCCGTACATAATACTGTACCGGTATAGTTGAATTGTTACAATTATACACGTGCTTAAATTGTGATAATGATGTAACAATTGGCGGCATCCGTAACGCAAAAAGGTAAACACATTTAAATTGATAAACGTATTAGTATTTATTTATGGTTTACCTAGGCTTACCATACGTCCCGCTTTAGGCGGGACAGTCCCGCTTTTTAGCGTCTTGTCCCGCCGTCCCGACAAGTCAGCTAAAAGTCCCGCTTTTGCGTTCAGCCATCCAGCATAATACACGAACATGTTCTCGTTGCTGTGTAGCGCAACGCTAGCCTACTTACTGAAGGTGAATGCGTTATTTTGAATGTTTCGTTGTTTCCCGCTAACATAGTTAGCGAACGCATCACATGTAAAATCAATTCTAATTGGTCCTGTTCGGACGTTCACGTGAATGTAACATTGAGCAACGTCTTTTTGAAGGTGTTATCTACAGAAAAGCATGCTTAGCGAATAAATAAATTCTCAATGCTTGAAAACGGCAGACTATTTCATTCTTTTTTATTCTATTTGCTGTACATAAAACAATCTCAATTCGGATCATTTGTATCGTTAGCGTCTATTTCTTTCTTTTTTTCGAACTGAACCCGATATTTAGACAGAGAATATGCGCATGAACTCTCGATGACAATATAGTCGATGAAGACAGCCGGGATGGCTTTAAATATAGGCCTATGTAGTAAAATCGGAAAATGTAAAGTTACAGGATTACAGCTAAGGGATCGTGTCTTTGGAGGCGTCCCGCTTCGAAGTCCAAAAAATATGGTAACCCCAGGTTTAACTATTTCACCACGGTTCGTCGGGCCATTTTAAATCGCCACGCGGGCCATAATTGGCCCGTGGTTTGGGAACCCCTGATTTGGGGCATGCACCCTATGTCAGGTATACCACTTAGAATATTGAATAGATTGGCTAATAGCAACAATAGCAATCTGAACTTCCAAAGCTATACATCAAGGTCTTTATGCGTGTTTCTATATTTAAATTATGGTTCCATTACATTTGAACCCACGTACATTTGAACCCATGACAATTGCACCTGTATGCTATTGCAAATATGGAATTTTTTTTGTTTCACGGATAGTTAAACCCATACTAACCCTATCCCATGGGTTTTAGCACCCGCATATAGATTGAACCCGTGGATATACGCATGGGTTCAAATGTACGGTCACCTTAAATCATCAATAGTAAACAGCTGATTACTATATAACTCTGTTTTGAGTGCGATGGTAAAGCACTCACTTTCTCCGCTTTTGGATTCGACTATGATAAAAAATTTCTTACTTTTGCTTCAACCTGGTATACTTTGACAATGATCAGAATTGTCTATGTGACAGTCACTGTCCAGCAACTTGCTTTCCATAAAAATATGAATAACCAGCAATCCTCTCGCACATAACCATCCCTGCATGGGATTCGAACCTGCGAACCCACGCAGAGTAATTAGAGGTGCGGTGGCGAGCGTATTCCTAACACCTAGCCCGTTGAGCCACACCGCCGTGCCTAAATGTTTGACTTCCTGCCCGAGGCTGATATCTATTCTATGTTTTCAGTAATTTATGTGTCTGGAGGACCTTATACAATAGGAAAGTTTCATACAATTTTATATCCCCCAAGTATTCAGGATTTGATTCGAAAAAATATTCGATTCTGAAATCATCAGGTATTCGAAAATGCCCAGCCCTACTGGATAGAGAGCAGCCGAGAGGTTGTGGTTCGCTATAGGATTAAGATAATTAGTTTTCTTGCCACCCGGGATAAATTAAAAAATCTTCTTCCCGCTACAAACCCTAATGCAACTATAATACAACTGCTTGAATTTATTTACACAGAATCAAAAAAATTACATTACGATAGAGTTGGTTACACAAAAAATACATTTAAAGTTGCATATATATTGCATTTGGTATAATACAGAAAATCCAATACAATGTTATTCAATATACACTGTGTAAGTTGAATTTTCAGCGCTCCAGAAGTATGTGTACCAATATGGAGGTAACTAATTTTATTTGCCTACTTTACATCAAAATGTATAAAGAGACTGAAGCCTATAGGGAGGGTGTATATTCATTTCGCTAACACAGATAGTCCCCGAACTAATAATAGAACTAAAATGAGGAAAATCGGAATAAAATTATGGCCTAACCCGGTACACACACTACTGGAATATCGCTTTTTCAAACTTACGCTAAGACCAGGCTTCGAAAAGGGCGAATTAATAAAACTGTTTGCTTCAAGAATTCAGCAACACAATATATTTCTCGAAATGCGAATTTGATTTTATGTTGCAGATGTCTTACAGACTTTTCTGACCAGAGATTTCGTACAAAGGAAAATATAATGAAGAAACGGGTTGAACATAATCAAATTATAGGTTTTATGTCTGTAAAAAGTGATTTGTTTCGGAAGGGAATTATTCGGCCTCTAATGCGCATATGAGTTTATGTTTAGGATTTTTACTTGTTGTGACGGTCAAAGTCAGCTTTTTTGTCAAAAACTCAAAAATCATTGAATTGGCTAAGCATTATCAATAGACAAACTCTTGCTTAAGCCAAAGCTTTTGTTATCAAATTGGGTTTTTTGGGAGTTCCAGCTGGGATTCGGAATCAAAATTTCTCTAATGATATAGCCAGAATCTCCGTAATCAGAAAACCAGAATTTTCCTAAAAAAAGAGCCAACACTAGAATCAACGGCTCTGTTTCATATCATTAGGTTGTTACCACTGAATACATATGTTTTTAAACCCATGACATGTCTCAGCAGTGTTGCCAGACTAGAAAGACAGGAATAATGAAAACTCATTTTATGTTTCTGACACAGATAAGAATTATTGCATAGTTAATAATATTAGAACTCTCTGAATCTATATCATTTTATAAATTTCAAGTTCGGATTTGCATAAAAATACATTTAAACAAAAAATTAAAATCACATATTTTCAACCATACCACGGGCTATATTCTCACCTCGCGAGTGTAAAGGGCATTGTTATCAGCTACCAATCTTATAGGCTTAATTTGGATTGGCTATAAATGAACCAGAATAACTTGGCTCAAGAAAAAAAAAATAGTTGCCTCTGAAATATCACAGGCTGCCTGTCCAGAAGCCCAGTGATATTCTGAAACACCGGTTATCAACCAGCGGTCATTGCCAAATTTTGGGTCACAGAATAATTTCCAGGTAAGCCGCGGACAGTGGTAGGATTCAGCCGTTTCGCACATGTTCTATAGAACCGCCTCACAGAATTTTATGCGATCAGCGAACCGGTTAGCATTACTGGTTACTGTCAATGATTTTTTGTAACAGAACCAGCTGAAAAATATGACTTTTGTGAAGAAACCGGCTGACAAAAAATTTGAATCCCACCGCTGGCCACGGACCCCACAGACAAATTAAAAATTGCTTAGAGTTATTGATGAATTAGTTAAACTTAGATTGTAGCAGCAATGAATGATGATGCTGTCTCTGAGTGGTAATTCTCCTTTAATTATCAAAGGGTCTATCTTTACAAAATAAATTGTTTTTTCCTTGTATGAGAAAATTAATGGGCCACATAATTGCTTGTGAAACAAAAGTGGGCACGAAAGAAAAAAGGTGGAAACCACTGTTCTAAAAAAACACATAACATTAAAAACAAAATTTCAAGAAATCGTATAACAAGAGAAATTTGTCCATTAGGAATCATTAATTCTTAGAGCAGTTGAATCACAGAGCAATCTCTTCCGTAAAGTTGTTTTCCGATACAATAGTTGCGTCCATGTCATCAGCGTTTGAGATAGGGAGAAGCCTTTGGAATCTTCGTTGATAAAGCTGTGAAGCAAAAGTATCAAGATGGTAATATTAGGTCGGAACTAATGAAGAACTACTAGCTTGACTGTGCTATAGTATCGTGGCGTGGCGGTGTGGCTCAACGGTCTAAGTGTTAGGAATACGCTCGCCACCGCACCTCTAATTACTCTGCATTGGTTCGCAGGTTCGAATCCCATGTAGGGATGGTTATGTGCGAGAGGATTGCTGGACTCCTCGCCGTCGTTGGGTGGTTCACGTAACCGCTGGTCGGTTACGGCTTCCTCCACCACCAAGTCCATGCTTCCGAAAACGAACAATATAACTAATCCCATACCCGACTTGGAATGGTAACCGGACGAGAGGCCGTGGTTCGCCATATGGATAAGCCGTCTTATCGGCTTTCCTCTCCCCCGGGATAAATCGGTAAATCCTATCCTCCTATCCTATTTGTAAATAACAGTATATTTGTAAGGAGAATGGCCTTATAATGATGAATGTCGCTATTTTTCAAAAACACTAGAGAGAATTTTAAATTCCTCCTGGCTAAGGATGAAATTCAATTGTACAAATTATCGACCAATACCATAGCTCCCAAATTCCTGGTAAGCAGGGAAGAAAAAATAACGAAATGTAATGAGTTCAAAACATATTGCAAACTACATGCCCTTGACGTGACTTCTGCCTAAGTGTTTTTGATATTACTATTTATATGAAGGAGCAGTAGTGGGGCCCTTGGGCTGGACATGTCTACTGCCTACGTGTTTCCGGTATTATTATTCGAGAAGTAGTGGGGCACTCGAGTTGTAGATGGCCTCATATTTCAAGACTTAATGTAGTGAAAATTATAGAAGCTATAGACGACTTGTAATTTCCAAAATTGTGAAATCAAAATTTTTGCCATTTTGACATATAAGCCAAAGTTGGGAGTTTAATACTTTGTAAACTCAGGGTCAGAAATCGAAGATGAAATTTTTGTGAAGCTAACATTCTGCGGAGATGAGTTAAATTTACAACTTACTCACGGATCTGTATGACTCAGATTCATGACCCAGAGAGCTCCAGGATAGACACTAGCTCTGAAATTCACAACTTCTGGGAATTCAAAATTTCAACTCCCAACATGCGATGCGCATGCTGGTTCAATAGTCTTGGTACAAATTTTCATCGAGTCAATGCTTAGTACCGGTAAGTCAGTAAGGCCAACGAGGTAACTAGTCTAATGACCATGGGTTCTATATTATTAAGATTTTTTCTCTTCAAGTTGAAATCTATCAGCAAATCTACCAGAGTTCTCAAATTGGTCCTAATTTACTGGGGGCTGCAAGCAAAAGTGTCCGATGGGTAGCTTCACACAGGCCTTAATAACAAGTATTGCAAAGCCCAAGTTTTACAATACTGGTATTAACTGGTATTAAACTGCATAATGTTGAATTGTAATTTTTTTTTTCAGCATTAGCTGTCTTTGTGATGGTTACTGGCATATCTTTCCAAATCGCTCTTGCTTTATACAGTATATTGTATCAAGTGACCACGAGTGTTGGGAGTTTTTGGGAGCGGGCCAGGGATAATTAAACTTACAGAACCATTGATTCATACAATTTACACTCACCTGAACTGCTAAAAACAAGGTTGCCACCAGCAATACAGCACTCAGAATAATAGCAGCCAGAACTGGTGGACTACTGACGGTTTTGGTCAAATTTCCATCATCACCTTCGCTGTCCCGCTTTCCACTCTGAGACTTTAAGTCTTGGATTTGCGGCAGATTAGGAGCTTGTTCTGTGAAATGATAGAGGGATTTACATATTTATCCAGAGGGAGAGGTAGGCAGTAGTGGGATTCAGCCGGTTCACACTGGTTCTATAGAACAGTCTCACTGAATTTCATAAGATCAGCAAACCGGTTAGCATTATTGAAAAAAACATAACTTTTTGACAAATAATACAGAATCCTGGGGATTCGAATTCAAATCCAACAAGATTTGATTTCCACCTCTTCAGTGCCATTCATCAATTTTTGTATTTCATGTTTCTAATTTATTAATCAAAGACGAGCGTTTTCTCTCAATTGGAAATATCTCTCATTTAAATATACTTGCGTTTGCCCGCAAATGATTTAATCCGATTTAATATATTTGTACCAGGTTAGGGTTAGGCCATAATTTTATTTCAATTTTCATTAAGTTAGTTCTATTACTAGTTCGGGGACTAGTCAAGTGATTCCCGTAGTATTTGTACCTGAAATTATGGCCTAACCCTAACCTGGTACACATACTACATTCTGGTGTCCGCCATCTTAGTTTATATACTTCGGGAGTACCTCTAATTTAGATATCAAAGACGAGCGTTTCCTCACATATGAAAATCTCTCTCATTTAATTTTATGTGTGTTTGCTCGCAAATGGTTTAATCCGAACAGTGGTTACGTAATTACACCTTAATAGGGATTCCAACTTACGACCCCATACAGGGTAATAAAAGGTGCAGTGGCGAGCGTGTTCTCAAAGCTTAGCAGGATGCATCACACCGCCGAGCTAAGGTTTTCTAACTTTCCTTCATTTCTGTCCGGTGTGTTGTACAAGGACTTATCTTTTTATCTATTTTATCAATGACTTATTTTTTTTATCTATTTTAGATAAATATAAGTCTCACCTTGGCATTCCCCATCAACCATGACCATTAATGACTGACATTCACATCTGTAGCTGCCTTCAGTGTTCCTGCAGGTCTGATAAACTCCTTTGCAAAGATTGGATTCAGGGGAACACTCGTCAATATCTATAAAGAGAAATAATAAACAGGGCCATGTATTTTTAATTTCAAATATTTATATTATATATATAGCAATAGTCTAGTGCAGCATTACTCAAACTGTGTTCTGCTGTTTCACGAGGAATGCTCCACGGAACAGGGATCATAAATGCGACTAAATTGGTCTCCATGGCGATCTTGGCCCCGCTTAAGCGCATCTGAGTTGTAAATTTGTCTCCCAACTGGCGACAAACAGGCGGATAAGCCTTGCTATCTAAACAGGCCTCAAGGCCCTGAAAAAGCATAGCGTTTTTCGTCAACCGTCCAATATCGTTAATCATCGGCCTATGGCCAGTTTGAGGCAATCTTTTTAATTTATCACAGGCTGTAGAGGGGAATAAATCAGCTAGGAATGCAGATGAAAAATTTTTGGTCATTCCAAAATATTAGTTTTGTACATACCAGCGGCTCTCAAAATCTTTGTTTGGGGTACGAATGGCTCTCCCCAAATCAGTGGATGCTTGTATAAAGCATAGGCGTAGCCAGGGGGCCATGCCAACTTCCCTCCCCGAATTTACAACATTTTTTTTTATGTAATTTTGCTGCATTTGCAGTAAGACATAAAATCATTCGACTTTTCTAACACTGTTTTGCTCTATTTCTGAACAATTTACTGAAAACGGGTCGTTTCCTGCATTGCTATCAATATTTCTTTCTCCAAATGAACAAAACAAGATAGATGAAAACTAGACACTTTTTGATCTAGACACTTTGATCTAGGTCCAAGATTGTCAGCTCCGTGGGCCACAAAATTACTTTTGCATTGTTCGCGGGCCACAATAGTGCCAAGAACTTTGCTCAATTAACTTCGCTAGTTGCCTCAGCAAGCCATAACGCTAGTCAATTCAGTGACATTAGTGATGCAACAATATGTCATAAGATTTTTTGGTTAATTTTATGACGAAACAACACGAAATGCAATTTTTTAATTCCTCTCCGAATGCGGCACGGGCCACAGATAATGAAGCGGCGGGTCACATGTGGCCCGCGGGCCTGGGTTTGGACCACCCTGATCTAGACACTTTTTTTTGAAGTGGAAAATATTCAGTTCAATTTCGTAAAGTTCTCTTTAGCCAAGATTCAGATAAATCCATAACTAACAAATATGCTAATCACATATGATGGCGGAAAGGCCAACAACAATCCTTTCGCAAATTAAATCAGCAGTAACTTAGCCTGACAGTTGTTGCATCGTGCTAATCGTTAGGAACATGCCGGTGATTGCATTTTTTAATTGGATTCTATGGGAAATAATTATGTGTGACGGTATTGCTGAACGTCTCACCATCATAGGGTGGTTCACGTAACTGCTGTTTGGTATGGCTTCTTCCACTGTCAAGTCCATGCATCTAAAACATCTACTGATTAACCATACATGACTGGTAAACAGATGAGAGGCTGCCATTTGCCATATGATCAAACCACCTTACCAACTTTTCTATCCCTTGATAAATAAAAAATTCCTATATATTTTGAAATCCCAAACCTTTACAAGTTTCCTCATTCATATGAAAACCTTCCTTACAACGGCACTGGAACCCTCCGTCTGTGTTTACGCAAACTTGGTTCTGGTTAGTATTGCAATTGTGTGATTGATGCTGACATTCATTGATATCTGAAAAAAAAATATGGAAAAGGATAAGATAGGAGTCTCTTTCTCTTAGGGTGGTTCACGTAACTGCTGGTCAATTCCTCAGCCATCAAGTTCATGCATCCGAAAACAAATAACTGGCAAACTAATCCCATACCCGACATGGACTAGTAATCGAACAAGATGTTGTGGTTGGCCATATGATTATATCATCTTATCAGCTATCCTTTTCCCTGGGGATAAATAGGTAAATCCTATTCTTGTATTAGACATAGAATAAATATAGGATTACGATGCCGGTGCTAAGTGGTTGTGAATGAATAATCTTGTCTATTTTCTATGATAGTCATAAGACAGGGGTCGGCAACCTTTTGTCGCTCACTGGCCAAAATCAAGGGTTGCAAATAATTGGCTGCACATATTTTTAGAAAGTTGAAAACCGAACGGATGATACTTTTTTATAATAAAAATCAAGCAGTGATACATCTCTCGAATAGAATATAGATTTATTTTCGCATTGGAACTCAAAATACTCCATTCGAATATTTTTTTTTGCGCTTAGCATCAACTTTTCTGTGTTTTGTTGCCATTGATCTATTTATAATCAAATTATAGGCTCATTAAACAAGTAATTGCGAATTATATACTTGCACGTCACTGGTGGGCTGCAAATGTTTTTAGAAAGTTGAAAACCGAACGGATGATACTTTTTATAATAAAAATCAAGCAGCGATACATCGCAAAAACATGAAAAACCACCAAAAACATTGCTAAAACCATGAAAATCATTGCTAAAACATGCAATAAACATGAGAAACATTGCTAAAACATGCAAAAAACGTGGAAAACCACCAAAAAGCTACTATCTCCATAAAGTGATTGCTCCTCATTCATTAGTGGCAACTTGTATCTGCTATATGCTAAACTAGAAAAATTTTAGTCTTCATAGAACCTCTATATAAGTAGGCAATACTGATTTCGGTCCTTGAAATAATATTAGCTCTTCACATATCAATAGATATCAGTGGCTGCTTGTACAAGACCTTTTTTGGGGGAAAAAAGCGCAAATGAAATCTGTCGTTTAAAAAAAATTTTCATGCATGACCATAATCACCTTCACATATTCCATTCTTCAGCTGATATCCTTTCTCACAGACACACGAATAACTTCCATCAGTATTCAAACAAAGTTGGTGTTTTCCAATACAGGAATGAAACCCAAGTATACATTCATTCACATCTGTTAATAGATAAATAGGCATTAACAGAATATTTTTCAGGGTGGCAGTGGCACTCATAAACATGATACAATACTCTTTGAATTATTTTTTTTGCAATTCCCACCAGGAGGCAATCAAGAGTTGAAGACACAGGATACCAGAATCGTATTTCAGAATAGCCTAACCTTTGATTATGTTCAAACAATTCATGTTCAATAACCTTATCAAGCAATGAAACTAGGAAAAAAGTTTCTATTGAAGGGCATGGTAGCCCCCTCCAGCTGCTCTGTGGCGCCCTTGGTGGGCCCCGGATCCCGATTCGGAACCACTGACGTATGGCAACCTGATGTTCGCGTTCCAAGGACAATACATGGGCATGATGGCTTTGTAATTGGCACATCATGCTAAGCGCTAAGAATACATTTACTGTCGTACCTCTGATCACTTTGCGGAAGTTCAAATCCTGTGGGAGATAATTATGTGTGAGAGGATTGCTGGACTCGACTTGACATCGGCATAAAAACAACTCCTCGCACTGACAGTCACGGTAACGATGGAGATGTCTCCCTATGATACCATTGTGAGGTAACAGTGGTCTAATAATGAGCATTGTAGTTGATTTCAACACATCCGTGACTGATTGTGCAAACCATTAGAAGTGAAATGCTATACACAAATTCAATCAACATGCAGTGTATCCCCGCATATGAGGCCGAGTTTGAAACTAGAATACAAAAAGTTGCCAAACTAAGAGGTCGGCTTCTATGCCGATAACTATGATCACACTTAAAATTCGGGGCATGCGCGTGCAACTCTATCATACTAAAGGGTCGGCTTATACACGCCAAGTTGTCCCGATAAGAGCGTGCACGCACACACACTCGAAGCAGTGCTTTGTATGCTATGATAGCAATAACAGTTTGACATGTTACCATTTGCATGTTCACGCTATGACGAGTATTTGAGACACTTCTTACCATTATTAATAAAAGTAAAACATAACAATAATGGTTATCATTTTCATTAATTCTCTTCTGCAACCATTTGCTTTGCTGTGATATTTGCGTATGAAGTGTTACCATTTGTAGGGTCGGCTCATGTGCAAATTTTTATAAATTCACTTTTTTAGGGTCATTCGGGGAGAGGAGGGGTGGGTCGGCTTATATACGGTTATATCTAAAACTAACCAGCACAAGTCGAGCCATCCCCACTGTATCCTTCTTCGCAAATACATTGATAAGATCCAACATTGTTGATGCATTTCCCATGTTTCAAGTCACATCTATGGGTTCCAGTATCACATTCGTGAATGTCTTGAAAAATAAAAGGTGTGTTTAAAGCTTTATATAAATCAAGTTTGAAAAGCAATTCACGCTGAAAATTTGCTCTTCTGATTACAGTCTGAAATAATATTTTTGACTAGCCCGCAGTGGTCCTCAACCTTTTTTCTTTCGTGACCCACTTTCGTTGTATAAAAATTCTCTGGCCCGCCAACTTTCTCATGCAAGGGAAAAACTAGAAGAAAATCGAGAATCTTTTTGCAAAAATGGATACTTTCACTATAATAATTAGAATGAAAAGCAGCAGCATTATTCATTGTCACTTCAATAAAAATTTGACTATAATGACGCAAACGAAACTAAACTTTTCAACAACCATAGTAATTTTTAATAGGCTTGTGGGTTGTGGCCCACTTTTGAAAATGTCGCTATGGCCCACTGGTCAGGAACCAGTGGACTAGGGCAGGGCTACTCAACTATTTTTACCGAAGATCCGCATACAAATCTTCAAAAATATTTGGGTCCGGACTTTCTAGAAATTATATTTCGGCATCCTTGAACACGCACTTTCTCGACAGACTAATGATTATTAGCTATATAACATTGTTTATTGCGACATTAGAGTTCTTTTCATATATATTTAAACCTATAAAAAAGATTTTATAAAAGAAAACTTCAAAAGTGGGGTTAATGATCCAAAATAAAGAATTAGTCGCGGTCCGAATCGCATACCCGAAAGGTCCGCCAGCTGAGTAGCCCTGGACTAGGGCATGAGTTCCCCAACCTTTTTTTTTTCGAGCAATCAAAATTTGAAAAAATTAATTTTGTAAAATCCTGTGGATATGCTTGAATACTAAACGTCATGTAGTGGTGTGGGCGACGTGGCTTTACTTCAAGCAAAATAGATTTTGCCATCTTTTCGCGCTGTGAAACTTTCCACACATACAATTTATAATGAACAACAATTCAATACAAAATAAACAATAAAATTTAATAGTTATGTTCAAAATACAATACAATCTGAAATAATTTGACCAAAGCAGTAGTTTCCAGAATTTTTTTTCAAGTGACCCAAATTTTGTAAAATCTCGCGAACCAAGGATATGCTTGAATACTAAACGTCATGGTGTGGGCGACGTGGCTTTACTTGAGCAAAATAAATGCTTCAAAATTTTCACGCTGTGATACTTCCAACATATACAATTACTATTGAGCAACACTTCAATATTAAATAAACTATAAAGTTTACTGAAAAATAAAATTAACTTTTAAAGATAAATAAAAATAGCATAATCTCATTCCACGAAATATCAAGTATATTTGTGAGCTTTCGTTAGATCATAGTTAAACTTCTTCAGATAAAACAGGATATGGCTTAAATAGCGAAAAAATGAATTATTATTCGCTATTTAATTAAGCCATATTTGTTTCTTCCATAAATGGTGCCGTATTATGTATCAATGGATGTTTGTTTAGGTCTGAAGAAATCTTGAATAAATCAAAGACACTTAACGTTTTGAACTAAATGAACTTCAAAGGCAACTGAAGTTAAATTCATAACTCAAACAGTCATATGCGATCCAGACGAAACGAATGTGGCGTGATAAGTCTGTAAAATGGATAAGAAAAGATAAGAGCATATTTATTTACCTGTACAGTACTTTCCATCACCATGATATCCATCTCTACATTTACACTCATAACTTCCAACAGTATTCTTGCATGTAGCATAAGAATGGCAAGCAGGAGACCAGTTTACTGTCATCATACCACTGCCTGATGATTCTTCTATGCACAAAAAATAGAAAATAAATTAGAAATAAAAATTTACTAAAATATACTGGTAATGTCAGAAAAATAATTCAAGATTCATGAATTTGGGTGGATTTTGTGGAAATTTATGAAGAGACCGGGCGCTAAATAGGCGCTGCAAATTTTACATAGATGAAGTATAGGAATACTTTTTTCGGTACTCTCGAAGTAAGTGAACCAAGATGGCGAACACCGGAACATAGTATGTATACCAGGTTAGGGTTAGGCAATAATTTTATTCCAATTTTCCTTATTTTTGTTCTATTACGAGTTCGGGGACTAGCCAAGTGACTCCCGTAGTATTTGTACCTAAAATTATGGCCTAACTTGGTACACATATTACGTTCCGGTGTCCACCATGTCCATCCGGTATTCACATAATATATGAGTACCCTTTTTTCTCTGTGGGTCAATGGTTGAGGAAACATCATCACATAAACACCATCTCACTTTATATTTCTGATTTTAAGATCCAGACAAAAACTTGAAATTACATAAAATGTAGTTTGACACCAACTCATAAAATTTACCTTCAAAACCACTTCCATAAGCGAATCCAGGGGTCGTGTGAATCATGCCCTTTGCACATTCATCAATATCTGTAATAAAAAACAGCGTTTAGACCACCATTTCTGGATCTTCAGGGTTTGTATCTCTAATGAAGGCAAGAACTATTTCTGGGGGGGTGTGAGAATGATCAATCGCAAAGTTTAGATAAAAAATACAGGACATTAGGATAGGATTCACATATTTATCCCGGGGGAGAGGAAAGCCGATAAGACGGCTTATCCTTATGGCGAACCACGGCCTCTCGTCCGGTTACCATTCCAAGTCGGGTATGGGATTAGTTATATTGTTTGTTTTCTGAAGCATGGACTTGGTGGTGGAGGAAGCCGTAACCGACCAGCGGTTACGTGAACCACCCAACGACGGCGAGGAGTCCAGCAATCCTCTCGCACATAACCATCCCTGCATGGGATTCGAACCTGCGAACCTATGCAGAGTAATTAGAGGTGCGGTGGCGAGCGTATTCCTAACGCTTAGCCCGTTGTAAAGACTTTGCACAGTGGAAACAAGAGCAAAAGTGCCAGAGAGCTTTCTGCTTCAACTTATATATACATGGTGGTAAAAAGTTACGCAAAATGAAGGTAAAATTTTTCTTCATGGCAACGTTAAAAAAGGTAACTGTTAAAAAACGTCAGTTGTGAAATGTTTAAATGATATTTCACCATAATTCAATACTGTTAAAAGGTGTCAGGTCGTTAAATGTTTTAAGTAGCATTTCATCTTGACTTCTATTAATTTTGCGTTACTTTTTTATTACCAAAAAATTTCGCCTGGTTATAAAGTAACGGTTCCATTACATTTGAACCCACGTACATTTGAACCCATGACAATTGCACCTGTATGCTATTGCACCTATAGAATTTTTTTTGTCTCACGGGTAGTTAAACCCATACTAACCCTTGTATTGTACATATTTGATTTACCCTATTATAATTTATATATATCAAAAGGGGTGTATGCCGCACATCTGTGTTTTAGGCCAATATGGTCTTGTGCATACATCCCGTCTTCAGTATTTATAATTACTTACTCTTTTATATTGCTTTTACGAGACGAATAAACATACATACACAACCCATGGGTTTTAGCACCCGCATATAGATTGAACCCGTGGACATACGCATGGGTTCAAATGTACATGGGTTCAAATGTACGGTCACCTAAAGTAACAACTAATAACAACTAAAAAATTTCCTTGTCTTGGTTTATTAATAGTTTTTATTGTACTTGTTGTCTTCATTTATCATACAATAAAATTTATTTAAACTTACAGTTGTTATTTCTATAAAATCAGACAACATTACTGGACACCCTGCATATGTTACTGCGGATTAATTAGTACCATATATGCTCGTTTTACCACCAGAACTTGATTAAGGGGCCCGTTTGAATAGCCGCCCGTGTGAACAGAACATAAAAATAAATAAGGGCAGGTGCTTGAATACCCGCCCGATGTAAAGGCTGATTTTTCAGTGGTAGAGAACAATGTCACAACGGATTAATGTCGTCAAATACTTGTCTTCAAATTAACCGTAATTTTTGTGCATAATTTTACTTTAAAAATAACAAGCGCCCGTGCTTGAATAAGGGCCCGGTTAGTGAGTTTGGTTAAAAAAATATGGGCCCGGGCTACAAAACGAGCAAATACGGTATTTTGTGAAGTAATACTAAATAGATACTTAGCGCTGAGTTAATTTAGTTTAAGATGCACAGATAAAATTAAAAATATCGTAATATTTACTAATTGCGCATGGGAATATTGGATTTTTTTTAACAATTTTATAAAGGATTGGTGATTGGTTGGCCCGCAGGGAAAAATTGTTCGCCCAGAGAAAATTGCCAGTTTTGAAGGGTGTGCGGCCAGCAAACCAAGTTTTTAATTCAGTTTAATGTGGTATGTGTGAGTAACTCCAATCCCTCACAATGCCTGACTTGTGCAAAGTGAACAACACATGTCATAAGGTCAATAACCAAAATTTTTGTGAATGCAACTACCAAAGCTTATGTTAAATAAGAGTCCGCCCCGCGGTTTTCACCCAGTTATTTGTATCTGGCTCTCCTGTATTAAAGGTTGCACATTCCTGATTTAAAGGGTTCATAAAAGAAAGGGGATAAAAACAGTGGTTTGGACCAAATCTTGCAAGTTGACATGTAAATACTACATTTGAATGAAAGATGCCAATTGTGATGAGTGATGTTTTTTAGGATTGAAATATTTCAATGAATTTTTAAACGAGAATATCGGTCAGAGATAACTTATTGATCGAAAGTTAGGGGATCCCCCAAAACAGCACTCTTACTCCATAGTGACACCATGTGTCCTATCACTAATTAATTAATAACTCGCTAATTATACGACATAATTCTCCCAAAATCAATAGGCTTCTGGTCCAAGATAAGATGAATGCACATGCAAAATCTGGAGCAGATTCAATCTCGCTTTCGTGAGATATCGCGTGCATCTAACAGACAGACAGACACACAGAATTTACAAAATATAAAAACCGGTATTCATTTACTTATAGATAACACGTTTTTATTCAAAATAACTGCAAAACATAAATTATCAATCCTTTAAAACGTGTAAGAGAGATTTCTCGATATCGACTTGGTCAAAAAAAAAATTCGTGTTATTGACTAAGTCTTACTTTCGGGGACACGGTATCTAACAATACATAGGAAGCAACTTATTATTTGGTTCGAATGAAACCTTTCTGGTTTGCCATTATGAGTTAGTGACATTAAATTTCTAGTGTATTCGAATATTCAGCTCATTTTAAACAGTCGTTTTACATAAATCTACTGGCGCTTCGGAAGTATTCGTACCAAGATGACGCACAAACTGAACAACCCAAGCCTGGTACACATACTATGTTCAAGTTGTGTGCCATCTTGGTACGAATACTTCGGGAGCACAAATCTACTCAGTCAGATTCAAATTAGGGTTTCTTACCCCAAAAAATTTGAAATAACCACACTTTGTTGAGCCGCAAGATAAGCTCAAACGAATAAAAACTTGAACTTTCTCTCTTTTATTGAGTGATACAAAAAAATTGTTCGGTTCAGAACATCATCTTACCAATGCAGTCAATTCCATTCCCAGTGAAACCCTGGTTGCAAAGACAGATATAACTTCCGTGTGTATTTGAGCATGTTGCATCTTTGTGACAGATGGTTGAAGATAATGATAAAAAAGTTCCTGAACATAGAATGATATACATTCATAATTAATAAATGAAGAGACGAGAATATCAGTCAGAGACCGAAGACTTATCGATCGAAACTGTGGTTTCTAAACATGACTCTATAGTGCCACCGTGTATCCCATCACTAAAAAATTAATAACTCGCTAATTATGCGACATAATTCATCCAAAATCAATAGGCTTCTGGTCCGAGATATGATGAATGCATGTACAAAATTTGGAGCAGATTCAACTTCGCCTTCATGAGATATCGCGTTCATCTAACAGACAAACAAACAGACATACAGACAGACAAATACCTATCAACATACTTACCGATCTTAAGATCGATAAGTAAAAACTACAGGACAGAACTTGAAATTTAGAGATTTCAAGCCATTAGACAAGCAGATCAGGGAGCAGATATCAGAGCCCTGCTTTCAGTGAAGGTTAAAAAGTTTCTTATAAAAGAATACCAGTAAAAACATTGATTTCACAAACGTATTGTAAAGGTCAACAAAATCTGCAAATATTTACTGATAATCTCACCCCCGCTACCGCTTGAATCTCCAGACGCTTCTTCTTCATTCATCAAACATTCATCGATATCTGGATAAATTTAAAAAAATGTGAAAATATAAATATTAGGATAACAGCTTTGTTGGGTTAACACAGAGACCACTTATTAGTGGCATTGAGGAGTAGAAATAATTTTTGGGAGGGGAAAGTTTTGAATAATTCCATGCAGGGATGGTTATGTGCGAGAGGATTGCTGGACTCCTCGTCGTCGTTGGGTGGTTCACGTAACCGCTAGTCGGTTACGGCTTCCTCCGCCATCGAGTCAATGCTTCTGAAAACAAATAACTACCGTAACTATTCCCATACTCGACATGAACTGGTAACCGGACGAGAGGCCGTGGTTCGCCATATGGATAAGCCGTCTTATCGGCTTTCCTCTCCCCCGGGATAAATATGTAAATCCTATGATACCCTACGATTTACATATTTATCCCGGGAGAAAAAAGATGGCGAACCACGGCCTCTTGTCCGGTTACCAGTCCATGTCAGGTATGAGTTTTGTTAGCCAGTTATTTGTTTTTGGAAGCATCGTTTTGATGATAGAGGAAGCTGTAACCAATCAGCGGTTACATGGTCCACCTGACGATGGCAAACCTGCGAACCCACGCAGGGTAATCAGAAGTCAAGTGCCGGACGTATTTCTAACGTTCAGCACAACGCGCCACAACGTCCAGCCTGTATACTCTACTGCTGACTTACCTATTTCACAAGTACTGCCAGTATATCCGCTCTTACAAAGACAAGTGAACATGTCGACTTGGTCAATGCACGTTCCTTCATGAAGGCAAGGTTGAGAATCACATTCGTTAGTTTCTGTCAAAATAGAAGGCAATGGGTATTATTTAAATGTAAGCTGTTTCAATTGTTTTTTGTCATACATATGCTTGTTTATCTTTTCATGAATTAAATGTTCAATATCACAATATAGTCATCCAATAACGGTGAATCCTGTGAACTGTGAACTTGACTTGGATGACAGTATGGTCGTATCGCTGTCTCCGGTCTTTACCAAAAAACAGTGTCTGTTTATCGTATGTAGGCTTTCATTCATTTGTTTTTGGACAGTACACCAATAATTCGATGAGTTTTAATTAGGCTGTGCAAAGCGAATCGAACATTCAAAAAACATTCAATATTTTAAATTTTTTAATAGGAATTATTTAAGAAACGTTCTATTTCTTACAGTATGAACTTCATTTAATTATTGAAAATAGAACAATGCCAACTTTGATCGTGAGACCTGAGAAGCCGAGTGCTTGCATCGAAAGGTTTTTAAACCCAAACAGGGGGCGTGAAAAACTCTAATAAATTCGAAGGAGGATAGGATAAGATTTACATATTTATCCCGGGGGGGGGGGGGGGGAAAGCAGATAAGACGGCTTAATCATATGGCGAACAACGGCCTCTCGTCCTGTTACCAGTCCAGGTCGGGTATGGGATTAGTTAGCCAGTTATTTGTTTTCGGAAGCATGAACTTGGTATTGGGAGGAAGCCGTAACCGACCAGCGCTTACGTGAACCACCCTAAGGCGGCGAGGAGTCCAGCAATTCTCTCGCACATAATCATCCTCGCATGGGTTTCGAACCTGCGAACCCAAGAAGGGTAATCAGAGATGCGGTGGCGAGCGTATTCCTAACGCTTAGCACGATGCGCCATACTGTCGGACAAGGAGCCGTGAGTTTAAAAGTTTGGGAAGCCTAACGCTGAACCACAATGATTAAGACCTTTCCAAAAATATTGTATCTGTTTACAAATGTCATTAAAAAAATATTTACCATGGCAAACGAATCCATTTCCATAATACCCATCATTACACCAACAGTCATAACTTCCTGCAGAGTTCTTGCAAGTTGCGTGCAGATCACAGAGGACAATGTTGTTGACTTCGTTTTGTCGTTTGTCAAGAAAAGCTGAGTCAGTCTTTGTTCGATGAGTCATTTCTGGCAACTGACACTCATCGATATCTGAAACGATAAGAAGTAAACGGGGCGTTCATAATGTCGCTTTACAATTCCAATTTTTTATGGAGTCAGTTCTCGATATATCTTAACCTGGTTTGTTGTTTTTAAATCAGTAATTGTTTAAGTATTTTTACTTCTTTTAATACATCTGTGAGGGACAAAACAATATTTGGTATCAATAAATTCCCTTTGCAATTTAAAAAAAAATAGGATTTAATTCGTAGCTTATGTACATATGTAACTAACTGTGCCAGGGTGACAGATTAAAAATGTTATAAAAACTGCTTCATCCAAGATGTGATTAATTATTAAAGCTATAGCAAACTAGAGGAAATTAGGCGAAGGCATAGCCTGGGAGATTATGGGGTCAAAACCCCGCAACTTCCTTTTAAAATGTAAAAAAAAGCGAAAAAGCATTTTTCTGTATTACATATAGCAATTTTTCATAGTTTTTCAGACCCCAATGATTTTTGAAAACCCAGGTTCCTGGACGGACATGATAACTGTTCCTGTTTTGGTCTAACTTGACAATTAGAAATTCCGTACCCCACCCCGTACCCCCTTTAAAAATTCTAAGTTACACATCTGGAATTAAGTCTTTATACATGTCAGTAGTTATTTGCATCGTTGAGGGTTGAAAGCCTCAAAAAATTCTGATACTAATACAGCCTGGCAATTATATTACAGCCTCACAATAGAGCCATAAGATCTTAAAGATCTAGGACTAACACCCCTCACTTCACCAAAGCTGGAACAAACTCAACGACGTCAAAAAACCTTATTTAAAGCAAATACTACAAATATTTTAGTAGAGTAGTATGTTTTAGTAGTTAGTATGATAGAGCATTGTTTAGAGTGGACCATTTGGACTGAGAAACAATTGAGGTATTGTGAAGTTCGACTAATCGATATAGAAAAAGCAAATATAATGGACTCAAAATTGGGGTCGTACTTTACAAAAATAAAGTGTCAGGTTAACTGGTATTACCATATTTACTGGTGGATACAGCATTACAGTAATATATTTATTTTCAGCAACTCAAGAATTTTAGTGGCTGGATTGGATGGCTGGATTGGACACTAATGATTCTCCTTTACTTCATGAAGAAAGCGCGAGAGGTAAACAAATTTTCATAATAAATCTACATTTCTCAAGTAAAATACCTTCACACTGTAGTCCATTTCCTGAATACCCATGATTGCATTGGCAGATGTAACTTCCATAAGTGTTAGAACAGGTTGCTTCGTCATGACATAAAGGTGACGGAATCATTAAGTTCTGATTGCCATAAACATAATCTGCCAAAACAAAAATGAAAAGTTTGATAAAAAGCATGTGTGAAGCTCATTAACTTACAATTAGTCCAGGACGCAAGTATAACCAACCAAATATTATAGAATAGCATTTATATATTTATCCCTGAGAGAGAGAAAAGTCGATAAGATGACTTAATCATATGGAAAACCACAGCCTCTCGGCCGGTTATCATTGGTTACGTGAATCGCCCTATGACTGCATTCAGCTACCCCGCGAACCCACGCAGGCAGTGGTGGGATTCAAATATTTGACAGTCGGTTCCTTCACAAAAGTCATATTTTTCAGTCAGTTCTGTTACAAACAGAACCTTGACAGTAACCAGTAATGCTAACTGGTTTGCTGATCTCATAAAATTTCGTGAGACGGTTCTATAGAACCGGTGCGAACCGGCTGAATCCTACCACTGCACGCAGGTTAATCAAAGGTGCGTGGCGAGCATATTCCTAACGCTTATCACAATGTGCCACACCGCCGTCAAGTTGCAAATATAATTTGAAAAACATTTTGAGAATAGTAAATCATTCAGTTATAATAATGTCTGATCCTAGCCATGAAATTCGGAATCTGTAACCTGGCATATTTAATAATATTTTTGGAAATTTATAAATTTTGTGAACGCTGTGGCCTAGCCTAGCGGTTAAAGCAGGAGTGGACATTGTGTATGCTGAATTCACGACCATTGTTTTTTTAATAGAAATTTCTGTTGAAAATATCATAAAGACCCGGTTGTTAACCCTTTCCGTGCGGTGGGAACGTATACGTACCAACGACAAAGGTTGTTAGATTGCGGCGGGTACGTTGACGTACTCCACTGTTTTATTTAGCAATCGGTCGCAAACTGTTGGTCTACTTTTTCCAGGTTTTAGTTTATTGATAAGAAGTCTTCTTCGAGATTAACATAAGCGACGGTAAATCTCGCATTCGTTTACGACGGGAATTTTATTTGCGGCGGAACGAGGGAGTGTTTTTGAAATTTATGCAAATTTCGGTGTTTTTTGGGTGGTAATAGAAGACATATTATCCCTTCCATCTACCAAGTATTTTGAGTTAGATCACGAAATTGCTACAGCAATATTATGCTATTGTTTGCCAACCACGAAGCGGTAACAGTAAAGGATTTAGCAAATATTTCTATTTTTTATCACGGTTTGAAGTTTCAACTCCCAAGAAGAAAAATGCCTTTTTTCTATCCAGTTTGTGACTCAGACCACCACTTTTAGAAAAAACTTTTTTTTTTTAATCGCCAATTGCAAGCTCTTTAAATAAGCTTTCCAACGAGCCGTCAGTGGGCAGCAGAAGATTATTAGTTTTTCGTTAGTCGATCGATTAGTTGTGGGGGTACAAATGCATAAAATCGGCGTAGCATGTACGATTATTTAATAAAAAATAAAAATCGCATGGAAAGGGTTATATTGTTCTTTTTATTATTATTATGTAAACGCTAGCCTAGCTGTTGGACCAGCTTTTGTAAATAAACTGCTTTTGTTCATAGTTTTTCATATTGAGCCTCCGATCCAGTAACCAAGTCTATAATCTGCAACTGGCCCATTCAGAAAAGTAATTGCCCGCCCCTGGGTTAAAGCATTAAACTTAAGTGTGTTGGCATTCCCGGTTACAACACCTTTTTGGGAATCTCTGAAACTACAAACAAACTACATCTGATGGGGGAAATATTATTTATGAAGTGAATTTCATGTTTTTATATACATTTTATAAAGCAAAGTCTCAATCCCCACCTAAAAATATGGAAAAGTACTGAAATAAAAGATGTAAACAACACTAGTGTGCTGAAATAAAAAGTCCGAACAAATGAAATTTCCAAGAAACTACCCCCCCCCCTCCCTTTCAAAATGAAAATATTTCTTACTGTATTCATAGTAGTCTGTCGTAGTGTTGTCCAACGTACACTCGTCAATATCTGTAAAAATAAAAGAATGTTGGTTTTTTACTTTCCGATGTGAAAAAGACTAAAAATGAGTCTCCCTAACATTGCTAAATTTTTGCCAAAGCATTTAACAGCATCATCAGTAATTAGAGTTTTATATGAAAAACACGACACTAAATATATCGACATGCCTAAAACAAACCATAAATAAATTTTGGGTAATATGAAACTCTCGGTACAAAGATCATTTGGTTTTTATGAATAGAAAAGCTGATAAGACATTGCGCACAACCTGATAACATAACCCTAACCAGGTACACATACTATGTTCAGGTTGTGCGCCATCTTGGTGTACATACTTTGGGAGCACCGACAGTTTATCCATGTTACGAACCACGTCCTCTCATCTGGTTACCTGTTCAGGTCAATGATCTGGATAGGTGACCTAGTCAAGGGTGTAGCCAGGGATTTTCAAAGAGGGGGAAAGGGGGGCTTGAAATTTCAATTGCCAAGTTCTACTGTAGCAGCTCGCGAGTTTCAAGAGTCGTGAGGGTAAAAAAGCATGACAAGCCACAAAAAATGCTTTGTATGAAACAGAAAAATGCTTTTTTCCTTTTCAAACGGGAGATAGGTTTCGACACTCATCCAGCTTGCTGCCAGAACCAAGTAATAATTCCACATAAATGGCGGTGAAGGTCTGCTGGGACAGTTTTAAAACAAAAAAACAATAAAATAGTTAATACCTACCGGAGCATTTTGTGCCGTCGCCTGTGAAGCCAGGATCACATCTGCAGATGTAATGTCCATCCTCATTGATACATTCAGCCTGGTCATGGCAATCATGGAGACTCTGTTGGCATTCGTCCACATCTTAAAGTAGCAAATGTAAATAAAAGTTTGGTGTCCATTGGCAAAAAGTTTTGCGTGTGACTTTTGAATTTTATCAAGTGTAGTATTATTTTTCATATCCATGTTGTGGGTGAAACAAGCCGATAAGACTTAATCATATTATAAACCTTTTGAACCTTGTATTGAAAATGGGAATAATTTACTAGTTATTTGTTTCAGATGCGTAGACTTGTTGGTGGAGACGTAGTGGTCACACGACCTGAGACAGCAAGGGCCTCTCGCAGAATATCATAGGTGCCCTTACAAGTGAATCCCAACGCTTAGCATGAACCACTGGACCTCCTTGGACTGCCAGGATTTTTGAAAAGGGGGGGTTTCAAAATCGGAAATTCCACGTGCCGTCTGTAACAGTCACAATGATGACGCGCTCGTTAATAGAGCTGCCTTTTCAGCATATAATGAATTTTCTGTCGCGTAAAATATTCAATCCATGACAACTACGAAATTCTGAAATGACCCCGAAACCCCCCCTGGCTGCGCCACTGTGGCCTTTTATTAATATATGTTACTAGTAGTAATTTACTACCCACCCAGACATCTCCCATTATCCTTAGTATACCCCTGGTTGCAAACGCATTCGTATGAACCGTCTGTGTTGAAACATTTTGAGTTCGGTGTACAAGTGATGGACGAACATTCATCAATGTCTAAAATAAAAACAAAGAAGGAAAAAATCAAACATTATTGAAGTAATTCATAGTTCATTTTTTCCCCACAGAGAAAAGGGGTCTCGTGTAGTTTCATACCTAACGTACTTCTAGGGGGCGAAGCATAACAATTTTTCGATATGTTAATCTTAACCCCCATCTGACTACGCCATTCAAAAATTAAATCACTACGACATCACAATCGCGTCATGGAGCTTGCCAAATATACGCATGATCGACCGAAATGGCATTGGCATCGACGATAAAGAACTGACTGAAGTTATTGATCTCTCTCCTATTGGAATCGTTGAGACAAGAAAACAAGAGAAATAAATGTTCGATTTCGGGTGCTCGTTTGCGTGTCTTGGATGGCAGTTCGTATAGTTTGTAAGGCTCTATTACGTCACTGTGACGTCGTAATGACGTTTTTGGATGGTGTAGTCAGGTGGGGGTTAGGATTTATACGTGAAAAAATTGTCATGCTACGCCCACTAGAAGTATGTTAGGTACGAAACTACATGAGACCCGAGAAAAGCAGCCCATGTCCGATATGAGATTAGTTAGTTATTTGTTTTCAGATGCATGGACTGATGATGGTGGAGGAAGCCGTAGCCTACTAGCAATTATGTGAACCAACTCATGACGGTGAGGAGTATAACAATCCTTACACACATAATTATTAAAGATGCTGTGGAGAGCGTATTGCTTACGCTAAACTTAGTTACCTTCTTGGCAGCATTCTCCAGTCCATCCAACTGCGCACTCACATTCCCCAGTTGCCAGTTTTCCACCATTGAAACAAATTCTGTTACATTCATGGTTCTGTCAAAGTATCAATATTTTTAATGTGCACTCTATACAAGGCTCTAGATCAGTGGTGCCCAACCTTTTATGGCTCACGGCCCCCTTCCTGAGGTTTTTAGAACTCATAGACCGCTGTTTATTTTTCCAGAGGTATATACCGGTATGTTGTTATTTTGATTAATGGACCTTTCCCCAAGTATCGACTTCCTTGTTTACTTCGTGACATTGGCCAATCAGCAAGATGCAAAAAGTGACGTAACAATGCTCTCTTTTCGCATCCGCCCACAAACTTTTCTCACTCAGACATATTTTCAAGCGTGGTCATGAACATTACCTCGTTTTCGCGTTTTTGAACTCTATTCGTTAGTTTTCAGTCGTGTTTCGAAAACTTAAATATAAATCCGATAATTCAATGATCACTCTATCTTCCTAGGAGTTATAATTTAATTGCAGTAATGAAAAATTAGTGTAAAAGTAGCTGTGATAGACTAGGCTAAATTTTTTTACTGGTACTTTCAAAAAACAGATTGTTATATGCGATGAATCATAATGATGGTTTGAAACACATACCCCATTTTACAGGTGCCAACTCGCAAAAGCACTCCTAAAATAGCCCCGAAAATTTTGCAATGGTAAAGTATAGGAAGAATTTTTCGGGGGTCAAAGGTCGGGGAAAGGTCCATAGATTCCAAATCCCATTAGAATAAAATCCCAATATGTTCAAACAATTCTAGCTCAAGCGGAACTACAAGAACTTTTCTTGTATAGGAAAATATAAAATCCATTTTGTGTGTACTATGGTGGCCCCCCCATCAACTGCTCTGTGCTCCCTAACCCCCCCACCCCCACCCAAATGCTCTGTTGCCGCTTGGTGGAAACCGCTGCTCATGATATTTGAAAAAAAATGTAAGATTTTGATTGTAAACATAAAGTGTACTTTATGTCAAGTCCATGCTTCCGAAAGACAAAATAACTGGCTAACTAGTCCCATACCCGACCTGGACTGGTGACCGGACGAGAGGCCGTAGTTCGCCAGATGATTAAGCCGTCTTATCACTTTTCTCTCCCTCGGGATAAATATGTAAATCCTATTCAAATTTAAGAAAGGATCTAGCTATGTTGTTATTTTTGTGCTCATCTGAGCATGACACTAATACGCGGAAATGTTTTATCCCATCACTATTCGCTAGAGTGACTCTCTCGATTTGATTTTTATTTCCCAAGTTGTATTCACTCTTTTTTTTTTTTAAATAATTATGACCAGGATTGGTTATCGAGCAGCGATACCCAAGGTTCAATAACTAATTAAATTTCTAAAGTCAGAAGAAAAGTTTTTAGAACAATGTGCCTAGAACCCATGTGCTCTCTGAGGACTCGTTCCTGTTGGTGCGTCTTTTGTTATGTTAATGGGCATGTACGAATTATACGTTTATACTTAGTTAACAAAAATCGCCTTGTGACCATAGATTTGACCTAATTATGCTGACATTGCCCACCAGATTACATCGATGAAAATGCGCGTTTGTATACCTTGGATAACTTCGACAAAGAAGTGAGTTTGTAGAGGGATTTTTTAGGATAAACGTCATTATACAAAAAAAATTCCCTCCCGACACTTTTGGACTGGGCAGGCTACGCTTGTGCACCACCTCACCTAAAGTACAATAAATTGGGTAGACAATGCCTGGAAGATTCCGTTCCTTTTAAAAGTAGTCGCTACTCAATTCACAGTGGCTTATTAAAAGGGCCTAGTTTGGAGTGAAAGTGTAAAAATGTCCAATAAAACTTATCCCAGAGAAATTCAATTCCCTTTCTCCCAATTTATACTAAAGGGAGGGGGTTCCCGAAGTATGCGAACCAAGATGGCGGACATCGGAATGTAATATGTGTACTAGGTTAGAGTTAGGCCATAATTTTGGCCATAAAATTGGAAAAAAATTACCGCCTAACCCTAACCTGTTACCCACGTTACGGTCCGATGTCCGCCATCTTGGTTCGCATACTTCGGGAGCACCAAAGAGAGTCACATTAAACTGGTCAAGCCTTAGCAATATAGGGCATAATGATTTCACAAAATGCCTGTTGTAGTGCATCTGCAAGCTACCATTGAGTTTTTAGGATATAGATGGGTTTTTGTCAATAAATATTTTACCTCGTCCATGTTCAAATCACATTCTTTTCCCCCGCATTCCATTTGTTGAGTAATGTTGCGATGACGTGTTTGTAGTCCTTTAGCACCACAAGTGGTGGAACATTCTGACCAATCAGTCCAAGGTGATAAAACACAATCCACTGGAAAAAGTATACAATATGACTGGGTTTTCATATTTATCTCAGGGGAGAGGAAAGCTGACAAAATAGTTTAAACATTCGATTATTAGTGAGTTAACATTTTGTTTATGATGCATGGACTTGATGATGAATCTGTAACTGACCAGTGGTCATGTGAACCACCTTACGATGTCAAGGATCCAAGCAGTCCTCTTGATTATTTTTACCCTCCAAGCATTAAACGGACTGTGAAGAAAAAGAAAGGCCTGATCGATCTTGCTAAGAAAGCGAGGAACATGCTCGCCATTGCACCTCTCATTATCCTGTGCTAGTTTACAGACTCAAAATTCTGTTGAGAATGATTATGTGCAAGGGGATTGCTGGACTCAAACGAATAACTTACTATTTATATATACCCGACATGGACTGGTAACAAAACAAGAGGCCATAGCCCATAGGTTCTTTAGTTGCACCAAATGGAGCCCCAGTGTTCCGTAAGAGAAAACCTGTGCTCTCTGCGAACTCTACGTTTTATCGTGGGGGTCGGTAGACAGTGGTTGGTACTCCCGTAGTGTGTGTACCAGGTTACGGCTAGGCCATAAATTTATTCGGATTTTCCTTATTTTAGATCTTTACGAGTTCGGGGACTGTCTGTGTTAGCCAAGTGAATATACCTCCTGCCCATAGGTTTCAGTCCTTTTACACAACTTGATGTAAAGTAGGCGTTAGTTACTTCCATATTGACACACTTTACAAAAGGTTTCTGAAATTTCTAATTGTTAAGTCAGACCCTGAGGTCCGACCAGACCCCGAAAATGTGGGTTTTTAAGATATTGAGGGTCTATAAAGTGTTCCAAGCTACGATCAATTGTTATGTATGATAGAGAAAATATTTTGTTTTTCTCATTCAAAAAAAGGGGGATGGGGGTACAGACTCTAAATTTCTCTTTCCTGATATCTGCTCCAGAATATTACAATATTTATGTTTCATTAAATGCTGAATTTCCATAAAACTCAAAGGCTTACCCGCACAGCAATGAGTATTGCATGCCTGTACTTCATGCTTCGTTCCCAGACATTCTTCTCCTTTGCATAAAGCTGCCACTTTAACACCACGATCACGATGCTGTAGTCCACCTCCGCATGTTTTGGTGCAACTGAAACATAATTTGGTATTTGATAAAGTTTTTGCATTCAAAATTTGCAAATTGAAGCTTAATTTTCCAACTTGGATTATTAAAATCTTGCAATGCCATAGTTTAAATTGAAAAATATTGTTATCTCAGAGATGACACATGGAGTCTGCTTTTTTAGACTTATTGTCAGAGTTAAAATTTCGGTTCTAGTCCATTTAGTCGCGAGACAGATTTCTTTTTGTTCTCTGACCGATCAGTTCAATTACCACATGTTAAAACAAAGCCAGCCTGATTTCATAATCAGTTTTTATTTATCCGTTTTATTAATCATTGCCTGTTATGCTGATTATGAAGTGAAAATAAACTTGTACATTAAAGACAACTAACCCACTCCAGCTTGTCCAGGGTTCCCATTGACAATGGATTGGGCAACAGACATCATTACAGAACCTGGGAAGGAGAAGAAAAAGAATTACAATTCAAGTTTTATATTTTAAAGTCAGGTTATAAAATGGGGGTAACTTAAATAAGACTTTGTGAGCAAAAAAGTACATATATGGACAAAATATGGATGTCAACTACATAGAAGGAAGATTACAGGTTCTAACACATGAAATAGGCCATCCCACATAATCTCAGTAGTTGAAATAGTAAATTTGACTTTTGAAATTTTGTGAAAGGATATATGGTCATCAAGGGAATGAAGGTGTGCTATAGAATATTAGTCATTTCAGATGAAAAAGTTGGGGTTCAGATCTAAGACCACATAACAAGAACAAATGCACACCATTGACACCAAGTCCATGCTTCGAAAACAAATACATGGCTAACTAACCCCATACCGTACCATAAGCTAAACCAGGGGTGTGCAAACTGCGGCCCGCAATAAGAAGTTGTGCGGCCCGCTGAGAAATAACTAATAAATAATAAAATTTCGAATGGTGTAACGTTACCCGCAAAACGAGCATTTATTCTTTTTCGTCGCAAAGCCCATACCAGTCATATTAGCAAAACAAACTAGCAAAATTCTGTTGCAAAATAAACGATTTATATTACAAAAGCACAAAAGCGTGTTTCTCACTGCGTTCGTTTGAAGTCGGTGTGACAAAAAATTTAAATAGCAGTTTCTTCAGAAGTTTACGGTATGCGTTTTAAATCTATTATTTCTGCAAGAACCCCTAATAGTGCCGTAAGATCAATAGCAAATATAGGCAATTTTTGTGCTTGCAACTACCAGAAAGCCAAAATTAAATAAAGGTGCGGCCCGCGGCTTCACCCAGTTACTTGTATTTGGCCCGCAAATAAAAAAGGTTGCACACCCCTGCGCTAAACGATTAATCCATTTGTTATTTTTTAATTAATTGACCGCGGTTGTCATGGTTACCCCGCATGTCCTGTTTGGAGTCGTACCGGTATGCTCTATTTGCAACAGTGCGACATTGGGACAACGGGTGGCTCAAATGTATCTTAAGTCCGGCTATTGTTAGTGTTCTACTTTTTTCCTGATTAAAATTTAATGCTAGACTCCCTCATAGGTGACACTGCTCAATAACCATTAAGTTTACCGGTTTATCGCGTCTCTTTTAGCACTGAAATGATTTTTTTTATCTTTCTTGATTCTATATGTACAATGGTTCCATTACATTTGAACCCACGTACATTTGAACCCATGACAATTGCACCTGCATACTATTGCACCTATGGAATTTTTTTTTGTTTCACGTATATATGAACCCATACTCACCCTAACCCATGAGTTTTAGCACCCGCATATAGATTGAACCGGCGGATATACGCATGGGTTCAAATGTACGTGGGTTCAAATGTACGGTCACCATGTACAATGTGTACTTTCGGCATATGTGAAAATAAACTTCTGACTGACTGACAAGGCCAACAAAAATAATATAAATTACCTTGTATCCTGATTGGATCCCGCGCAGGACTTTCCCCCACAAAATGACTCGATAGCGATCTCTCGTGTCCTATCTTGAGTCCCCTTTTCGCATGTTTTTGTACAAGTGTTCCAATCACTCCACTGGTTCCACTTGCAGTCCACCGGACAGCATTGTTCATTGCAATTTTGCGTTTGAGTATTCTGCCCAACGCAATCATTACCACCGCAAAATTTTGGCACCAAAATGTCTCGACCACGTGATTGAGTACCCCCACCGCACTTCCGGGAGCATTGGGACCAATCTCTCCAGGCCCCCCAGGCGCAATTAACCGGACAGCACTGAGCGTTGCATTGTCTGGATTCGGTAGGCGCCCCGGTACATTCGTCACCCCCACATGACATTACAGGGTTTTCCCCGCGGGATCGACTTTGTAAACCACCCCCACATGATAAAGAACAAACCCCCCATTCGCTCCAATTTTCCCATTGGCAATTTACTGGGCAGCAATTCTCGTTGCAAGTTCTTGATTCGGTTATAACCCCTGGACACGACTTCCCACCACAAGATGACGATATGGAGTATCCGCGGCCTCGAAACTGCATCCCTCCCCCACAAGAACTAGAACATGTCCCCCAATTACCCCACTGTGCCCACGCACAATCTACGGGACAACACTGCCCATTGCAAGACCGTGTTTCAGTTGAAGGACCGCTACACGAGCTCCCACCGCAAGTTGGCCCCTTTCTCCCGCGAAATCTGTCCTGAGTGCCTCCCCCACATGATCGAGAACAAGTGCCCCAATTGTCCCACGAAACCCAGTAGCAATTCTCTGTAAAAATATAAATTACAAAATGGTTAGAGTGAGTACTAAAACCTTTGATTACCCAGCGTGGGTTCGCAGGTCCGAACGTATGTGAAAAAGGATTGCTGGACCCGCCGCCGTACAGCGGTTCATGTAAACCAGGGTTCGGCAACCTTTTGTCGCTCGCGGGCCAAAATTAAGGGTTGCGAGTCATTGGGGGGCAGCATATATTTTTAGAAAGCTGAAACCGAACGGATGATACTTTTTATAATAAAAATCAAGCAGTGCTACATCTCTCGAATAAAATATATACAGATTTATTTCCTCATTGCATCTCAAAAAATTCCATTTAAATATTTTCAGCGCCATTAAACCCTTTGAACTTAGCAGCAACTTTTCTGCGTTTTGTTGCCATTTGTCTAATTATAATTAAATTATAGGCTCATTGAACGAGTAATTATGAATTATATACTTATTAGGTTATAATATAATTTAGTTTAAAAAATATAATCGTCAAAACGGCTGTTTTGTTACTATAATTCAGTGAAGCGTCACGGGCCGGATTGTAATACTCTGCGGGCCGGATCTGGCCCGGGGGCCGTAGGTTGCCGACCCCTGATGTCAACGCTGTTCGGTTACAGCTTCTTCCGACATCAAGACCATGCTTCTGAAAACAAATAACTGGCTAACTAATCCCACACCCGACACGGACTGGAACCTACGTAATGGAAAGTAAACGACATAGAATGGTAAAATGAATTTGTTGATTCATATACACAGCATTCAAATTAAGAAACGATAAAGCATTTAGAATAAATGAAATATGCAAAATTTTTAATCATATTTAGATATGTTCAACACAATTCTGTTAGTTTTTGCGACGCATTCAGCAACTCGCAACGACGAATCCATGGGGAACCGTTACATTACACCGTTTTTCTTTATCAATTTTACCCTTTCATTTCTTGGTGTTCCGCAAGGCGAGATAAAAAGTAAATGTGTTCCGTGGTCGAAAAAATTTGGGAAACACTGTATTAAATTCGTTGTTCCCAACATTTTTTTCCAAATAAAATAAAAAACGATTGTGTAAAAATCTCGCGACCCAGAGATGTGCCCCATACTAAACCGCAATATTAAATAACTAATATAAAACAATCATTTGACATTTATTTCCGAGAAACTACCGCAAAGTGATAAGGCAGCTCTTGTTTAACGCCAGCGTGGCATAGGTTCACTTAAGCAAAATAACTGTTGCCAAATATTTACGCTGTTACACTTTCGTTTCCACAAACACAACTGCTATTGATACTTCAATACCAAATGCGAAATAAACGTTAAAATCTAACTTTTCAATTTTAATTGCAAAACAAGCGACCTAAGAAGATTTTGCCACGACTGAGTTTGAAGTCGCGACCCATAGGCACTGGTATTGACGACACGGAAGGTGCCAATCTGCTACGGACCATTGACGACATGTGACTTTTATGTCCTTTTAAAATGTAACCTCAATGCAGGTCGAAATGTACCGTACCCCCAAGTGGGCAATTGTAACCAAGTTTAGAACCCTTGCTCTAAGTGGCTGCATGTAGAAAATATTGTCCAAAGTTAATTTGTAACATACCTCGGCAGCACTGAGTGTTACAGCTCCTGGCTCCGGATGGCATACTGCACGATCCACACGCCCCCTGACTTCCAGTTTTGATGGGGGATTGCGTCCCTCCTCCGCAGGTTTTGCTGCACGCACCCCACTTCCATGTACATGAATGTGTTGCGCATCTACGTCTTCTGCGGCGACGCCTAAAATTAAGAAAAAATATTTTATTAAATATCTATCTGAACAGTAAAATGAAGGAAACTCGTCAAAAACAAAGTCGAAAGTCATTCTAATAAAAAGATCTTCAAGTCCAGAATCTCCGAAAAAGTTTAAAATGTATTTGAAGCATGTGTACTCAAAGTAAATGACAAGTGTTAAACTAAGAGTAGAAAAGTCCGAGACACTACAAATTTACTTGGAATTTTTTCTTTATTTTTTCGTAAATAAGTTTGTTTAAAATGGGTTCTAGAATCATAATCATTTATATTTACGTTACATTTTTAATTAGTTTTTTAGATTAGATCAGGGCTTCTTAAACTGAAAGTTGAATTTTAAGAGCTCTAAAGAGTACACAATTTTACAAGTACTATATCTATTGTGTGCGCACAATCTGAAGATAGTATGTGTACCAGGTTAGGTTTCAGGTTGTGCGCCATTTTGGTTCTCATACTACGGGAGCGCGATCTATTGTTAATTTTCAGTCTCACAATTATTAAAACTCGTGCGAAACATAAATCTCACAGTTTCGAGAGAATATATCGAATCAAACAAGCAGCGCGCCCGCATAACAATGCCGACTTAACAGGGGGTTGCGGAAATTTTTTATATATTAAACGAGGTCGCAAGCTTAAAAGTCTGGGAAGCCATGGATTAGCATTAGATTATCGATTCTTTCTTTTTCAATTTGCGTTTGTATCGTGTTCTTAAAATCTCGGGATTAATCCGATGCCAACCACCTGTCCCCGGTAGGGTTGGGAATGGTTAACCGGTTAATCGATTTTAGATGTTTAACGGTTACGATTCATTTTAACGGTTAACTGACATCTCAGGTACAAATCATCTTTATAATGTACAATTCTTTCAAAAATGATTACGTCATCGCAAATTTATCTTTTGTGGCGTTTAATTCAAAAGAATATTGCTAACTGTATTGGTGAGGACTCAATAAATGTGAAAAATAATCGAAGTACCAAGATTGCTGATTATGAAAATTTGACAATAAATAATTTTGAATCAGTTTTCGGTCGAAATATACCGGTTAATTTTACCCGGGTAACGATTAAAGTTTTCCCCTGAAATTCCCAGCCCTAGTCCCTGGGTGTACGAAATTTTAGTAGCCAATGCCAGATAACGAAGCAGACTTCATTTCCAAAAAATTACACGCAGACAAACGTCGATAAATTATGAAATCCTCACGTGTTCTTACCAAGCATTTCCAGTTTCACACAGCAAGAGAACAACAGCCAATAGCAGCAATAATCGTCCGTATGACGTCATTATAGGCTTAATTTGAATAATTGCTTCTAGAAAGTTAGAAATATGATAAAATGAAACATTCATTTTAGTAGGTTTGATGATCAGGTGGAAGTGTTATGGAGCCGTCTAGCTTGGGATTTCCTTGCAAATATTAATTAGAGTAGGTGTATTCAGCTGGTTCCATCATACAAATGTCATATTTCCAGCCGTTTCTGTTACAAAAAGTCATGTAATGCTAACCAGTTTGCTGATCTCATAAAATTTCGTGAGAGGGTTCTATAGAACCGGTGCGAACCGGTGCGAACCGGCTGAATCCCACTACTGGCTGTATGGTAAATGTCTTTAGATGGGCTTGTCAATCAGGGTTTTTTAAGTTGGTGTTTGGGTTTTTTGCTGATATTAATTGGAGTGAGTGTATGAGCCCTCATTCTAAAGTCGGGAGCCGCAGAGATGGCAGAAATTCAAACTTATAAAAATTGAGAATTAAAAATACGATTTACAATTATCACTAGAAGCAAGAAAAGGCAAATCTAAAACTTTCAGCAGGAAACAAAAATGCTACCTAACACAAAATTTTGTTTTCAATATTTGTTTATCACAAGGTTGGGAAACAGAAGCTCGTTTTTTTGTAAACTTGGACGCGAATTTAGGCAACCTGACCCTACAGAACTATCCACAAAGCTCTCATATGTGATTACTGCTTGTTGTCTATTGAGCTTATTATCCATTCTACAATTTATTTAATTTTCAGGTTTTTACACCCCTTGAGTATGGAGTAGCGAAATTAGGAAAAATTTCGGCGCTTCCGAAATATGTGCACCAAGATGTTGCACAACCTGAACCCTGATCTGGTACACATACTATGTTCAGATTGTGCGCCATATTGGTGCACATACTTCTGTGGCATTGCTCAATTGCAGCATGTTTTATCGAAATTTTAAATGCGCGATTGTCACACAACGGACATGCCTGGCCAAGTGTTATCCTTGGGTAAAGTACTGTACATATCATTTTTATATAAATGTAAATTTGACTCGAATTTCAACGATTGCTCGGAGTGCGGATGAGTAAAACTCCTATTTCTTGACATATCAAATATTACTTATTATTACACTATTTCTCCATTATTGTCAAAAAGAGTTCACTAAATAACATATTAATCAAAACTATTGTTTTCTTGGAACAAGGGCTTTCGAGAGTTATTTAATACCAGCGGACTTTTAACTCGGACCTCCAGAAGTATGTGTACCAAGATGGCGCACAACCTGAACATAGTATATGTACCAGGTTAGGGTTCAGGTTGTGCGCCATCTTGGTGCACATACTTCGGGAGCGCTTCTAATTCAATTTTTCCAGAGTTGTCCGGGCACCAATTTTTTAGTTATAATGTCGGAATTTTATCCCTCTAACAATCCAGATAATGCCATCGGTCTGCTGGCCAACTGTATTATTCTGTATCGACTTTATTCTTTGCCAACAACACTCCGCAAAATTCCAAAATTGATAGGCAACAAGAATTCCGCTACTCTTTTGAAACAATCGCCGAAATGAACATAGAATGAAAATTGACATCAATTTTTCAACCTAAACATAGTATGTGAACCAGGTTAGGGTTCAGGTTGTGCGCCATCTTGGTGCGCATACTTCTGGAGCGCCATAATTCAAAACGGGGAGATTTTGGATCATCCAGAAATAGTAGATTTTTAGGCAGAAATGCTGCTTGTACATAGCAGATGTTATCAAACCTTTTTGCGTTATGGATCCCGTGAAGAGATTGACTATCATTTACGAAGCCCGTCATAAATTTATAAATATAAAAACAAAAAAGACTCATTGTTACTTGCCGACTAATGTTCATGAGTGAATTAGAATTACTTTTTTGACGACACGGATGTTGGGGTTACGTGAAACTAACTACCGTTTCTGGCTCTATACCTTTGCGCAGGTGGATCTGTATGCGTAGAACGCAAGGGTGCTGTAGCAAGAGTGAAAATGACTATTCTATTCAATTCAAGAGTCTTGCTGCACACGAACGAAATTTTAGTGACTGTTGAATTGAACGGATGTTTTTATTGCTTTTTGGACAGATATAAAATTAGCCAAGTCAGTATTTCAATAAGTTGACGAATAGCTTGCGGAGCCCCTAGGTTTCTCCTAAATAGCCCTTGGGTCTCCGTATGGAGCACTCTGAGAACCCATAGTCAGGAATTACAGTGCGAACGAACCTCATAAAAAACGACACAATTTACGTCATCGCGCTTATACCCGCCAAACATATCAACTTGCGGATCTATTACGGAATCGTGATTAAGGGTGTGGTTTACTGAAACTGACAGTTCATTTGAGCGCTGCGAGTTTCGTAGACATTCTTGCGTGAGTGATAAACTGTACCTAAAAATTAATATAATGTTCATTAAAATCACTAAGGCTTGCCCAGTTTATGGAGTATCAGGACGAAAGGCGACTGCTTTGAAAGAGTATTTTTCTCTGCTGAAGGTAGCGTTCTCAGAATTTTAATTTTCGACTTAGTTGACGAGAAAACAGCGATAAATTGTAAACAAATTAGAAATTTCATAACGATCAGCGCGTTATTCGTTGTTGCCATAGAAACGAAACTTCGATCCGGACTTTCGATAAAACGCACATTACTAGGGTGACAGGATAACCAACGTGAAAAATTTCATCTAGATTGATCTAGTCGTTTAGACGCTAAAGCTTGGACGCACAGACAGACAGACAGAACGACTGATTATAAGGATCTTCTACAGCGAAGATTCAATAACACAGCTCAGACTCAGACCACGTTTACCTCGTCTCAAAAAATGTATCAAATACTTTCATCTATCTCAACAACGAAACGTAATTTTAATGAAATATCTCTCTACCTAATATTATTTTTTTTCAAACAGAAAACAGAAACACCAATGTGACTGACAGTCATATTTCTCACTCGATCCATCGACCCTCTTTCTGAAGGATTTTTGCAGCCAAGCCGACAAACTTAGTCATTTGCAGCAAAAGCACTACAACGCTGCGTTATATTCAGCACTTGCGTAATCAAACTTTTCCTTTTTTTCTCAAATCTCTTATCTCGGAAACTTTAAATCGCACTGACTCACCCAAATAGCGTGCACGGCCTAGCGTAATGAATTTTATTGTATGGGGTCCCGTCACTATGAAAAAGGCTCTAGACCAGTGGTTGTCAAATGGTGAGGGGCGCGTGGAAATTTTTTTAGGGGGGGGGGGGCGTGAAGCTAATTAAAAGTCTAATTTGATCTTGCTCGTCTTATTTGTTTTTAAAATTTACATTTATTTTATTATTCACGTTCCATCCGCGCATTTTCAACGTTTTTTTTAATAAAACATACTTCCACCTCTTTCACCTTACTATCTGTTATTTGTAGCTTATTGTTAGCTAGTTATTCTTGAGGCGGGGCGCATGACTTGATAAATTCTAAAAAAGAGGCGCGGCTTAAAATGTTTGAGAACTACTGCTCTAGACAATTAGATCCAGCATAGTTAAATCTAACAAACGCTTCAAACACTGGGACATCACCCTTACCTGTTTCGCTTACTTACAATAGAAATCATTCATAAATTAATTAGTTTTTGAGTGAATTATATTTGGCAGCCGTTTCCTAACTTTTTGTTTATGCGGCGCCAAATTTTCAGAAAAAAAAGTCACGGCGCACTTTCACAAATAAAAAGACACTACGTAACAAAAAGTAAAAGACATAGAAAGGTGAAATTAACATATTGATTCATATAAACAAAATCTGAAATAAGAAACAATAAAGTATTCATAATAAATACATAATGTTAAATATTTCAACTCCATTACTCATTCTGAGGTATTCACAGATACAGTCACAGTGCGCTGCGCTCCCTCGCTGATATATGGGCCAAGCAAAATTCTTTAATATAAAAAGATCAGTTGTGCTGAAAATTTATATGAATAACTGTATGAATATAATGGGGTTTTGCAACGGGGCCCTTAGTAGGCAGAGGTTAGAGGTCGGAACTCCCCCCTCCATTTTAAAAAGTAAAAAAAAAATCTGTATGATACATGGAAACTTTTCGAAGCAAGAAACGCTGATTGGATCACTCAGTATTCTTAAAAACTCACTTTTTTGGTTCTCGCCCGAACCCACTAACTCACACGGTTTAACTTGGCAATTGGAAATTTCAGATCCCCACCCGAAAATTCTTGGCAACGCCCATGCTTCTGGAGCGCCATAATTCAAAACGGGGAGATTTTGGATTATCCAGAAACAGTAGATATTTAGGCAGAAATGCTGCTTGTACATAGCAGATGTTATCAAACGTTATGGATCCCGTGAAGAGATTGACTATCATTTACGAAGCCCGTCATAAATTTATAAATATGAAAACAAAAAAGACTCATTGTTACTTGCCGACTAATGTTCATGAGTGTATTAGAATTACTTTATTTCATGACACGGATGTTGGGGTTACGTGAAACTAACAACCGTTTCTTGCTCTATGCTTTTGCGCAGGTGGATCTGTATGCGTATTACGCAAGGATGCTGTAGCAAGAGTGAAAATGACTATTCTATCCAATTCAAGAGTCTTGCTGCACACGAACGAAATTTTAGTGTCTGTTGAATTGAACGGATGTTTTTATTGCTTTTTGAACAGATATAAAATTAGCCAAGTCAGTATTTTGATAAGTTGACGAATAGCTTGCGGAGCCCCTAGGTTTCTCCTAAATATCCCTTGGGACTCCGTATGGAGCACTCTGAGAACCCATAGTCAGGGATTACAGTGCGAACGAACCCCATAAAAAACGACACAATTTACGTCATCGCGCGTATACCCGCCAAACGTATCAACTTGCGGATCTATTACGGAATCGTGATTAAGGGTGTGGTTTACTGAAACTGACAGTTCATTTGAGCGCTGCGAGTTTCGTAGACATTCTTGCGTGAGTGATAAACTGTACCTAAAAATTAATATAATGTTCACTAAAATCACTAAGGCTTGCCCAGTTTATGGAGTATCGGGACGAAAGGCGACTGCTTT